TAAATATAAAAGTGAACATTGAAATCAACGCTTAGAGGCGACAGGCTGTTTCATGCTAGACGCAATCGTCAGGCCGGCCTGACGATTGCATCTAGCATGAAACTTTATACAGAATTCCTCCTTATATACATATATATAAATTTTTCTTTGGACTCGAATCGACTTTTTCATATTTGATTTTTCTGCTTGGCCCGATTCTCGCCCCAACGAACTTGCAGTTAGGCCAGCTGAATTTTCCGGGATCTACGATTTGTTAATTGCTCTCCAGGATCATAACGTGGCGGGAAAGTGGAATGGAATCGACATTGTGAACCGGAGACTTTGATTGAACCTGTAATACGGGACCAGGACAGAACCAACGGCCGGTGTCTTGTAGAGTACATCGATCCAGTGGGGTGTTATATATATATATATATATATATATATATATATATATATATATATATATATATATAATAATAATAATAAAAAGGCTTAAACATTAATGTTCCATGGTCATAATTTATTCCACTGGAATCGTAAATATGATCCAATTCATCAGGCCCACAAATTCAAAAAGAAAAAAGGAAAAACAACTCCGGAAATAAAAATAGAATTTAGAGAGAGTGTGGGACGAATGTTAGAGCTAAAGAGAGGGGTAACAGACGAGAGAAGGTGGGAGATTAAACTTCCAAGTTATATATATATATATATATATATATCAAGAAGGCAGTAGATAACGATTTACATTGCATATAAAATCTTGAACATCAGAGTTGACTGTAAATATGTGTGTGTGTGTGTAAATAGATAGAAATATTGAATTAATCAGTTATTAAATGCACAAAATAGAATAATAAAACAGCCTCAGTAAACTGCGCAATGGACTGTTACAAATCTCCATTACCAACAGTTCATTGCAATACATTACCTTAATATCTGTATATGCCAAATTATTAGACCAAATTATCTGCCATTTGAGTGACAATTCAATTGATATGGCCAAATACCTATCTATTTATTTATCTAGCGATGAAACTCCGGCCCAGATTCTATGTTATGTTTGAACGTATTTCGTTGGCAATGAGATGATTTCATTTCTCTCTGTCTAGTAATTGGTCAACCAGTATGGCGCAAAGAGCTCATTAGCACTGCTTTATAAACTAGTCTTGGAGAAGCAAAATTTGAGCTCCATTCCATTATGGGCCAATTAATACGTTATTACTGACAGGTTTTTAGGATGGCGCTAGGCCTTTTGGAATGTGCGCATCAGCCATGTTGATTGAAGGCAGAAAGTGGTTGTCTCAGATTATTAAGAGAGAGAAGTTACATTTTAGAGGCATCAAAATGAACAATCCATTCCTTTACTCAAGTTAACATTTTTTTTGTTATTTATAATTACCGTGTTATATAAACTTACGGATAATTCATTTAATTAATCTTACCTGTAATTATTTAATTATCTTAAATTTGAATATATATATATATATATATACTTCAAAAAGTGGGGATGGTTCTGCACATATATATATATATATATATATATATATATATATATATATATATATATATATATATATATATTCCAGTCGAATCCATTACATTCGTGCTAATACCCTTGGGATAGGCTTGAATCTACTTCTTCTTCCTCCAGCTATGGGTAAATAGCAGGACAGACTGGGTTCTATAGCCTTGGATGGCAACTGATCTAGGAGAAGGGTAACTTTCCGTTTTAGGACCCTAGTGCACCAAGTCTCTGTATTCGGCCCTTCAAAAAGTGGGGATGGTTCTGCACAAAACCTTCACCACTATAATCAAATCTCATGTGCCGGTGACACCAGCACATGATCTGCTTGACCCTCATATGTCGAATTCGATAAGAGAGTCGAGTATACACACACACACACACACACATATATATATATAATAAAATTTTATTTCTCTTTTAATTTATTCTATTTTTAACGCTATTGAGAACATACAAATTTGTTCGAGATTAACAAAATAGCATAGTAAAAATATCAAGCGTTCAAATTGCTTGGTGTCTAACATTAGCGTTTCTCTTGTAGAGTAAAAATATGATATCTGACAATAATATAATACACGTACCTCACTATGATGAGCGGTGTGTCCGTAAATCTTTTTAGTCAGTTCAACGATAAATCATTCGAACTATTTTTAATGCTCTTATATATATATATATATATATATATATATATATATATATATATATATACATTGAGACATCATTTACACAAGTTTTGTGTACTTTTTAACAATCTTTTTGGTGTCATTAAGAGAAAAATTACTGATACATATTGTTTATTTCGAGTAATTTCGACATTGCATAATGTCATCATCAGGGTTATGTTTATATATATATATATATATATATATATATATATATATATATATATATATATATATATATGTTGAAACTTGACTAATGCATGGAATAATAATGCAACACAAAATGTACTTAGAACAAAATGTATTGAAACAAGAAAGTGTACACAATATTTACACTTTTGTATATTCCTGGTACGACCGTTCCTGGAGAATGTGTTGACTGAGTCGCAATCGGGCAGAGTCTCTGGTTGAATCTCTTGATTCTTTCCTCTCTTCCCGGTATCAACCATATTTATATGGTCGGTACTCCCACTATGCAAATTAGGTGGATCCTACCACAACAATATATATATATATATATATATATTAGAAACGTTTATAGGTATAAAATTTTTCTCGAGGTCTCTTTACATATCTCATTCTCAGATGAAGCTTTAATAAAGCCAAAACATGTCAAATTCATTAAAATTTCGTTGTTGTTCTTCATCTTATCACTCTTTTCGGATTCCTGTCCCTATTTGATTTGATTCTTATTCTTGTAAATATATATATATATATATATATATATATATATATGTGTGTGTGTGTGTGTGTGTGTGTGTGTGTGTACGACTGAAATGTACTCTAAGAATAATACAAGTTTAGATATATCATTAAATTGATAAATATAAATATATATATATTTGTCAATTCAATATATATATATATATATATATATATATATATGTGTGTGTGTGTGTGTGTGTGTACGACTGAAATGTACTCTAAGAATAATACAAGTTTAGATATATCATTAAATTGATAAATATAAATATATATATATTTGTCAATTCAATATATATATATATATATATATGAGTGTGTGTGTGGGTTAGAGTTATGAGTACGTGAGCTCTTAGAACTGTCGTCTTCTGAAAGTCTACAAACTTAACTTCGCCAAAGTTAACTTCATGTTTTCAAAAGACGCAGTCGTGTACTGAATAAATAACAATAAATAAGAAATTGATTTAAGTTTTGTCTCCTTTACAAAACATTCTTCCAGGCTTCTGCCGGGCAAGTTTAAATTAATTGTCGCACAAGCTCTAGCGGGGTCATCCACCTAAGCAATCATTACCCGCTGACTTTGGCGTCTCCAAAGTGTCGAAGTGGGGTAGAGAATTTTTCAGTATACTGCAGGCATACCCACATTAAACTGACCTTGTGTCATATTCGGTTGCGATGTGGGCATACTGACATATATCCCTCTTTTAAAAAGCGTTATTATTTGTCATTTTCAATGGCCATTCTTTCAGAATGGAAGTGACGCACTTGAGAAGTTTCAACATTGAATTTTTTCAGAAATGTAAATAATTTCTTTGTAAACTAAATATAGACAGGCATGAATATATATATATATATATATATATATATATATATATATATATATATATATATATATTGATAGATAGATAGATTGATAGATAGATAGATTGTGATAGTAAACCTGAATTATCTAGCGAAGAAAGAAAGAAAGAAAGAAAGAAAGAAAGAAAGAAAGAAAAAGAAAGAAACAATATATTAACCGACTGAAATAAAATGTGCTCAATTAAACTGAATAATTGAGAGGAGATAGATAGATAGATAGATAGATAGATAGATAGATAGATAGATAGATAGATAGATAGTTTGAATTATCGTGCAAAGAAAGAAAGAATATATTAACCGGCCTGGATAAAAATAATCTGACTAAAACTGAATAATCGGGAGGAGATAGATAGATAGATAGATAGATAGATAGTGATAGTAAACCTTCTGAATTATCTAGCGAAGAAAGAAAGAAACAACCAATATTTTAACCGACTGAAATAAAACTGTACTCAATAAATCGTTAGATAGATAGATAGATAGATAGATAGATAGATAGATAGATAGATAGTGAACAGATTCAGATAGATAGATAGATAATGAACGGATTCAGATAGATAGATAGATAGATAGATTGATAGATAGATAGATAGATAGATAGATAGATAGATAATAGATAGATAGATAGATAGATAGATAGATAGATAATAAAAAGGGTGAATATATATGGAGACAAATAATAGAGATAAAGCCTCAAAAAGAGGAAGGCAATCTGGATAGATAAAAAAAATAGAGAGATAAAGATTGAAAGACAAAAAATAGAAAAAAGAAAAAGAGCGTGACAAAAAACAGAGAGATACAAAGAAAAGTTGAAAGTAGCAGAAAGAAAGATGCGGGAGATACAATGAATGATAAGAATTGACTTAGGAAAGAAAAAAGAGAACGACAAAAGAGAGAGAGAGAGAGAGAGAGAGATGCAAAGAAGTAGAGAGACAAATAAAAATGTGGAGAGGGAGAATGAAAATCAGACCAAACAAGAGAGACAAAGGAAAACTCTAAAATGTATACCCAGAATAAAGAAGGAGATGAAATAAAAAGCGAGAGGCAAGAGAGACCGAGATAGATAGATAGATAGATAGAGAGAGAGAGAGAAAGAGAGAGAGAGAGAGACATGGATATATAAAATGGAGAAGTAAAATGAGAGAGGCAAGGAAAAGAGAGATACACAGATGGAAAACGTTCAAAATTGCCAAAAGTGTATCAAGAAAATGATGAAATATAAGGAGTTGAAAATCGCTAGCATTTTTATGCACCCAAGAAACACAGACATGAAAACAAACCTCAGAAGACAGTTAGACTAATTCTGTCTGTAGACTCGACGTAAAAGAAACACAATTTATCATAAACGTAGCAGCCAAATATTTTCTTCGCTGAGGACTAAAAGTTTTTTTTTTTTTTTATAACATTCATTCATCTCCATAAACAGCACAAAACCACATTACCAACAATTCATCGCAGTCCATTGCCTTTAATATCGGTGTATGTGAAATTATACGAGCAAATTATCGATTATTTGAGGGACAATTTTATTGATATTACCAAATATCTATCTATCTATCTATCTATCTATCTATCTATCTATCTATCTATCGATGTAATTCCAGCCCAGAATATCGCGTTCACTTTGCAGTTATTCACTTGGGAAATAGAGGGTGCTTCGACGTTGTGTTACGGTCAGCAAGCTTGTCTCGCTAGATCAAGAGTGAGCACTGAGTTCGATTCTCACGAGGTGCACCTTATATTATGGCCTTATTCCAAAAACAAGTTTCACTTATTAAAATACTATTCCCTTGGGGAAAAAGCTTGGATCCGTTTTTTCATTTTCCCCCCAGCTATAGATAAAACCAATATGACAGAGAGAGCAATTTAGCATTAGTTTACTTATAGGTACCTCCACAGAAACGCGATACATAATGTTTAAAATGATTTTTAAAAAAAATCTTTCTTGAAAATATTATTTTAATTTTAATTTCAAGCTACTAAATTAAATTTAATATTTCCAATAACTAAAATACATTGTTGTATTTCAAAACTAATTTAAATTGCCTGGAAGGAATTTTTGTTTTGATATCATTAAAAAAAATTATGATTTTACCGCCATGTTTAGACATCTGTCAGCACAATTCAATTCTGTTTATTAAAAATCTTTCAAAAATAATATACACTTTTCTTAAACTTTATTTAAGGCATATTAGCTAATTTAAAGTTTAATTAATCCCATTAGAAACACATATAACTTACTTTTAGTTTAAAACTTTGCTGAAATGCATTTTTAGACGTGTCGTCGCCTCCCTCTGTCTTTTCTACAAATACTTTCACGGTAACTGCTCCGACGAGCTACATTCGCTAGTTCCCAGACTGCATGAATTTAAGCGTGCTACTAGGCTAGCATCACGGTCTCACTCTGTCACTGTCGAAACGTTTAAATGTGGCGGTCTCTTCTACTCCAATAGCTTCATGTCTCGCACCTCCCGTCTGTGAAATTCCCTTCCTATTACTTGTTTCCCTGATAGCTATATTCTCCAACTATTCAAATGTAATGTCAATCGACATCTCCAGATGGCTTGATCGATCCCCTTCCCTTCTCTTCATCCTTTCCTCTATCACACCTCTTTACTCTCGCTCCCACTCTGTCACCCCTCTGCCTACTAGTGGCATCCCACCTTGCTTGGGGTGAAATGCTTAAAAAAAAATAATAGTGGTTGGTGTTTAAGGTGTTGATGTGGACGGTTGACTATTTTTCCTATGGTGGACAGATTTGTAAAAATCTACTTGAGAAAAAAGTGAGCACCATATTTATATAATTTTAAGTACCCCATAATCTTTTTAAAAATGGGAAAATATTCTCCGTAATCTACGTTTTTTTTATTGAAATTTAAGTACTTTGGCTTTAAATTTACAATTTAGTTATACTTTTTTTCTAATAATGTCGTTTATAGACGACAGTATTTACAAACATACGCATGAAAAACAAGATGTCTTAGCAAAATCTTTGAACGGTCTAAAAATGGATCAAAAATATAATTTAATAAAAAAAAAAAAAAAAAAAAAATTGCTCTTTCCTATTAAGAATAACATACAATCACTTTTTAAACAAGGTCAGCACATTCAAACTCTCAGTCACGATTACTTGTAACTCCGTGCTAGGATAAACATCGATTATTTCCGATCGATTCCGTCTACCCATCTTCACACACAAGGTTTTGCGTTAACACATGGCATTGTTTACGGGCACTATTATCAAGAAATTACCTCCCTGAATAATAGACGATGGTGAGATTTAGACTATGGCCTCGTGGCCAGAAACCGAATGTTCTAATCACTCGCCTGTAGATATATATATATATATATATATATATATATATATATATATATATATATATATATATTAATGATGCGATTATGTCCTAAGGCAGATTGTTATTACAGGGATAAACACCTTCCACGTATACCTCGAAGAAATAACTATCCTCTAAAGGTAAGACATTAGTGTCTGCATTTAGTTAATATCATACCATAGTTTGTGTTTGTGTGTGTGTGGGGGGGGATTTTAGGGAGGTATTTCTGCCTTACCGTGTATTAAGCAGAAAGAGTGGCGGGAAAATTGTAGAACGCCTGCTGATGGGTTTCAGGAGTTTGGACATTAAGAACGAGCTTCATGGATCGAACGATTCTATTAAATGCGAAGCCTCTTACAGAGATGCTGTATCTGGAAAGTTTGTGTAGCGACCGGCAATTTCACAACACCTTCTGTCACCGATTCTGTGTGTAATGGGTACATTTAATCAGGGTAATATTTCCTCTCACTATCGAAAACATAGTCCCATCTATTTTGAAACGCTTTCATCACTCTCGGACGTAATGTCCTTCACGTTTCGAAGCAAAGAAATCCATATTTCTTTTAACATCCCCACAATTTATTTAATGTCTGTCGTCCAAAGATATATTTTTTAATATTCTGAAAAGGTGATAAATGGAGCAAAGTCAGAAGGTTTGAAGCGTAACTCTCATATTTGTTTTTTAAATCCTTTTCCTCCAAGGAAGGCAATAAAGTGAATAAGATGCAAAGGCTACTGAGTGTGTCGTCCAAAGATATATTTTTTAATATTCTGAAAAGGTGATAAATGGAGCAAGGTCAGAAGGTTTGCTCATATTTTTTAAAAAATCCTTTCCCTCCAAGGGAAATAAAGTGAATAAGATGCAAAGGCTACTGAGTGTGAGATAATATGATTAACAAAAACATCAATAAGGGCGAGCAATAAAAAACCAGGAATTAAGAGGATGGATGGTGATGATGATGATAGACATTGCATTTAAATTTTTGTGCGTCAAAGTTGTTTGGAAAGGAAGAAGAAGCGGGAATTGAGTTCCACATGCGTTTAGATCTCGATATTTCAATTGCAAATTGATCAGACCATGTCGCTAATCTTGTACTGCGTTTAAATTCAAGGAAACAAAAATTCTGAATTGCTGTGCGCATTACCCAACTCCACATCTGGCAAGGCCCCTCGCCTAAAAAACAAAGAAGCCTAGCCACCCTCCAAGCTCAGTCTAGGCAATCCTCTGCGCTATTTCCGCAAGAGATGGAAACTTCACAATTTCAATACTTAGCTTCTAAATCTGTTATGGTTGTAATAAAAAAAAAAATGTTATATTCTGACTCATACTTTAAAGATTAAATTATAATTGGCGTTTATCGATCTTTGAACTTTGAAAGCCAGCAGCTGAAACGAATGATGCCTAAAATGGCCACATTATGGCGGAGAAACAAATAACAAAACTTTTATTTTCGGTTAATCGAGGTGGGTCTGTAGAGTAACGGTTATCATCGTTGAAAGAGAATTCGGAGTTCCGGATAGGAATTCTGTTGCGTTCGCTTTCGCGTTAATATCCTTAGGGATTACATTTTTTTTATCGTTTCACTCAACGCTAGGCAACAAAGCAACTAAGACGCAAAGTGTTACTGAATGTGAGGGAAAGAAAACACTATTAAGGAGCGTGATAAAAAAAAACAAAAAAAAAAACAGGAATTAAGAAGACAAAAGATACCGTTTGGCGTTACATTTAAACTTATGAAGATCATAGTTGACTAGAAAGCAAGAAACTGGAAGAGAGATCTATAAGCGAGAAGTGTGGGGGGAAGAAACTGTTAGCATTGAACTTACGGTTGCATCTAGCAATTTCACCTGTAAATTGATGAGACCCAAGAACTCATGGCAATTCACAAATAATAAAGAAGACGAAATCTGTTGAGATCCAGAATTATCTATAACTTACAGGATATAGCAATCCTTCAAATACCACGGTGAATAAGACCTTTACTATACGAATAAGTAAATGGAATATAGAATAGGCTTCATTTGAGGAAGTTTCTCGCAATACTGCAAGTTGCTACAGTACCAAAACATTAATCTGAAAAATCGAGTTATGTTCTTAAACAGCCTCGTCATGTTGAGGCTTTCATATGGATGTCATGGATGACGCCAAACCCGTTCAGAAATAACTAAACTGTCAGCTGTATACCATCTTTTTTTTTTCAGATGAGTAACTTAAAACGAGGCCTACAGTTCTTAGCCAGCGAGATACTAATCTGAACCTTGTGGACTGGCGGTACAGAATCACAAACAAAACACTGTACCAAATAAGAGAAACAACATCACTTGATGACTTTCAATGGCAGCAACGACTAGGATAGCACGTGGAACTCGAAGAGAAAATAATAACCTAAAATGCTAACGTTCCACACACTTCAAATAAAAGGTTAGAAAGGAAAATCCCATCAATAATGCAAATAACGATAACAGCTAATGGACTTGAAAAACCTATTTTCCTGCAAAATTGATTTATCAGAAATACCTTATGAATTTTAATCGACAATGAATATTAAATATTTCCGCATAAGGAAACGGCTAATATTAACAATTAGCATTAAACAAAAATATTACCAATGCCATTAACATTGCCATTACCAGTAAATAAAAATATTACCATTACCATTAATATTACCATTACCATTACCATTAAACAATAATATTACCATTACCATTAAAATTACCATTAAATAAACCTATTACCATAACCATTAATATTACCATTACATTTAAAAAAATATTATTATTACCATTAACATTAAATAAAATTATTACATTAACATTAATATTACCATTAATATGACCATTACCATTAAACAAAAATACTACTATTACCATTAATATATATCATTAATATTACCATTACCATTAAATAAACATATTACCACTACTATTAATATTATTATTACCATTAATATTACCACTACTATTAAATAAAAATGTTACCATTATTATTAAATAAAAAATGAATGCAAATAAAGAATCATTTTATTTAATCAAATAGTACTTCAGATTTCCCAAGTGTGTCCATTTTGTGAAAGGTCAGGGTTTGTAAATTTTCATTTTCGCTGCAGTCAACTGTTTAGGCTACTCCCTAAAGGTAATGACTAATTTGGATTAGTAATGAGAAATAAATTCAAACTTTAGTAGCACTGGGCTTTTAAACGCCAGCTTGGTTTCTACTTTGACCTAGGCTGACGATCCTGAACGAAAGACAGATTTC